ATCTAATAAAAGAAGCAAAAGATCTTTACACTGAAAACTACAGCACTCTGAAAAAAGAAATTGATGAGGATATAAAAAAATGGAAAGATATCCCCTGCTCCTGGGTAGGAAGAATCAACATAGTGAAAATGGCCATACTACCAAAACTGCTATATACATTCAATGCAATGCCAATTGAAATTCCAACACTATATTTCACAGAAATATATAAAAGAATCCAAAAATTCATTTGGAACCATAAGAGACCTAGAATAGCAAAAGCCATCTCAAGCAACAGACACATGGCACCAGGTATAACAATTCCCAATTTGAAACTATACTACAAAGCCACTGTGAAAAAAACGGCATGGTACTGGCAAAGAAACAGGCCTGAGGATCAGTGGAACAGATTGGAAGACACAAAAACAAACCCAGATGTATTCAGTTACCTCTTCTTTGACAATGGAGCTGACCATCCTCAGTGGAGGAAAGATAGCCTCTTTAATAAATGGTGTTGGAAAAACTGGATTTCCACCTGCCACAGATTAAAATTAGACCCTTATCTTTTGCCATGCACTAAATTAAAATCCAAATGGATTAAAGATCTGATATTAAAACAGAAACATTAAACTTGCTGGAAGGTAAGTTAGGCAGAACTCTGGAAGACATTGGCATAGGAAAAGACTTTATGAACAAATTCTCAGTAGCATGGGAACTAGCATATAGAATCAACTGGGATCTCATCTTATTAAAAAGCTTCTGTAGTTCAAAAGAAACCATCACCAGAACTAAGAGACAACCTACAATGTGGGAAAAAAATTTTACCGGCTGCTTCTCAGACAAACTATTATCTAGAATATATAAAGAACTCAAAACAATCAGCACCCCCAAATATAAAGACCCGATTCAAAAATGGGCATCTGAAATGAACAGACATTTCTCTTATGCACTTTTAAAAAGACACAGTGGAACTAATAATATTGCTTTGTTATTAACTTGACTGTGTGTATTCTCTGGAGAAGACTCTGTAAAAAATAATTACAGTGTTCTGGCTCTAAAAGAAACCTTGCTTTTGACCCAGAGCATGTTCTGAGTCTTCACCAGCTTGCTAGAAGACCAAAACACACTTCATGCTAAGGACAGAAGGTGACTGCTTTGGGGGCTCCAATATGTGTGTGTGTGTTCTCCCTACTGACTGGAAATGGTGTGGGTGAAAGAGAGCAACAGAAGGAAAAAGAGAGGCCGGCGGGTAAGCAATGAGGAGTGAGTCATGGTGAATGTGAGCACAAGCAAGACAGGTCAACAGATCTAAGAACAAAAGAGTGGAAGTGAGAAAAGCTGAGGAAATCAGAAATATTGAACCGGAGTAGACTGAGAAGAGCGTAAAAGAAAGAGAGAGACGCCTGAGTTTTAGAGCATAGGAGAGGATGTGTAAAAGAGAAAGAAGGAGGTATGAGCAAGAAAGGGAAGTGTGCAAAGAACATATTTAAAGGTGAACAATGACAGTGCAGGCCAGAGGGAATGAGCATAGGGATTAAGGTGTTTGTGTGAGAGGCCAGGAGAAAGGGGGGATGAATGAGAAAGCAAATGAAATAGGATACACATGTGAGAAAGAAGGAGCGGTATAGCAGAAGGGGGAAAGAGACTACGGGAGCAATCTATACATGCTTGCAGAGAACAGGATTTCACTCTATTAGGAATTTGCTTCCATTGATGGAAATGTCATAATGATCACACCCATGAGTAAATATGGTCTCTTCAGTGTATATTTGTGTGTATCTCTGTATATTTGGGAGTGTGTGATAGGATTTGAGAGTTAGAGCAGATTTAAGCAATCACAACCAGAGTGAGTAAAAATAGAGCTCTCTGTACAAGAGAGAAGCTCCTAGAATTCATTTCTTTGTAAAAAAGCCTAAATACATTTACATGTGGCATTTTCCTACCCTATACAAGTAATTAGGAACCCAAACAATATATACGTGTTTACATAACTTTGTCTCCAAATGAACATATGAGCATTTCCACCAAGGTTTCTACCATGTTTTCTCCATTATCTCCTTAGTCTGCTTGGATTTTCTTGGGAGTAAGTGGTGATATTCAGGAGAGGTGAACAAAGTATGTGCACATGAAACAGTTTAATGCTGCCTAAGTGGATGCAGGCTACATAGCAAGAAAGCCAAATTGTCATAAGCATAATCACATAAATAACAAAATCCCATGTAGATGTTTAAAAAAATGACGAGAGATAACAAATGCAGGTGAGCATGTGGGGAAAAGGGGACCCTTGTACACGGCCACTGAGAGTGTGATTTAGTGTACGCATTATGGAAAATAGTACGGCAATTCACCCCCCCAATAAAAAACCACTATGTGATCCAATGATTCTACAATAGGCATATACTGAAAGGAAAAGAAATAATGTCAAAAAACCTTCTGCACTCCGTGTTCATTACAGCATTATTCATAACAGCAAAAACAGGGACACAACATAAATGTCTGTCAGTGGTGAACATTCTGACATAATATTCTGACATACAATGAATGAAATTCTGTCACTTGTGGCAATCCTGGTGAAATTGGGCATAAATATATTAAGTGAAATAAATTAGGAACAGAATGACAAGTACTGCCTGATAGCACTCATCCGTGCAAGCTAAAAAAGCATTGACACAAGAACGTTGCAAGTAGAATAGTGCTTACCAGAGGTTGATGAGAGCAGGAGGTGCAGGAAGGATGAGCAAAGGTTTACCAAGAACTATTGTTAGATAAGAGCAAGAAGTCCTGCTGTGCTATTGCACATTAGGATAACTATAAAATAATAATGCACAGTATTGTTTAAAAATCCAGAAGGAAGAATTTTGAAAGTTTACCCTTAAAATAATAAATGTTTGGGGATATAGATATGTTTTTCTTGATTTAAACATATATACAAACATCACATAGCACCCAATAAATATTTATAAATTGTATGTATTATAAACCAGTTTAAAAAATTTGAATTAAAAAATTATAATCATATCAGTGTGGCATCACCAAATACATCTAATTCTCTTTTATCAGATGTAATTCTGCAGGTCTGCATACTCTTTGATCAATAGTAAACATGAATTCAGGTGATAATTGAAATATGCAATAGCAAATTTGTGCTACATTGGTAAATCTCAACTCCATATATTTTATCATGTTTTGAATTTGTACTGATATTTCAATGTTAATTTGATGACTTAGCATTATTCAGATATTAAGGTTTTTTTTATTAAAAGATGGATTTTGAAATTTAAGGATAAGCAACATAAATGTATAAATATCAATACTACCAAGAAATTGACTCTAAAAATTTAAATTAAACATAGATAATGCAGAATTTCATACTAGTGATGAAATAAGACTGACCTTGATCATACATCACAGGTAGTATAAATTGGCAGTATAGATATTAATGATACTTAGGAAACTTAAATAGTTTATTCCTTTAAATGTCTTAAGGTATTTTATTTTTATCAGACTCGTGTTTTTTATTAAAATATACCCATTCATCTAGGGAAATGAAAAAGAAATTCATGCTAACAATGTCATTGTTCTTAAGCAATTACGGGTATTTTAATTTACTGTGTTTCTAAAAAATTGTTGTACAATCACAGATATTTTCATCCTTAAATTGAAAATTGCAGTATCTTATATTCAGATTCAAAACTGTGTTTTTAAGAAGGGTATATTTTCTCTCTATGAATGCATGAATAGGAAGAATATTTTCTAATATTTATTTTGGGGGATCAGAAAGGCAACTGGCTCTTTCATCTTTCCTTTTGCAGAGGTTGGGGTCCCTAAAGATGGGCTAAAGAGGTTCATGGAGGGGTGCACTTGAAAAATGCAGTTCTGAGGGTTGAAGAGCACAAATTCATGCAGAGGAAGACAGCAAATTGTGATGCACTTGTGACAGAAGTGAGCCAATCACGCCAGACATTGAGAAACTGGGATGACCTCCCTTACACGACATGAGAGAGTCACAGCATTGTACCCTGCCAAGCTCCTGCCAGGTGAGACTCTGACCTGGTGGAGACAGCTACCCTCACTCAACGCACTTCCTCAGGAGAAATTTAACTGTGATCCTTCAATGTACAGTGGCATTTAGGGACAATATCATCTTGTGTTAGTGGAATATCCAGAGAATATATGTTTCAACTGGTTCTAGGAATCTTATCCTGAAAGAGGTTTGACCATAAAGAGATGAGTCAGACATGGTGAGGGTTGCTCTCTTAAAAGGGGTGCTTTAAAAGGGGCATGATGCACCTTTAAACAAATAAATGCAGTGGACAAGTAGGTCCAAATCAGTGATTATAAACAGAGGCTGTTATGCATAATACGTTGCCGTTTGCCAAAGTCTGGGTCCATTTTGTTGCCAAAAATTGGTGGGATCTACTGACATGCTATTAAGTGCAAGACAGAGATGCTGCCAGCCAATTTCAAAGCATAGAACAATGTTTCAAAGGAAAATCAGTGTGTCCCCAAATTTCCAGTAGTGCCAAGGTTAAGAATCTGTGACATAGATGCTTTGACTGTTGTATATGTTGGATACAAAGCAATGAAGAGGTAGACATTTAAGACTTTTCTTAAGAGAAAACATAAAGATGATAAAAGGCTATTCTCCATATGGGGAAGATGAATGACTGGATTCCATATACAACAATAAAGATAAAATTGCATGGAAAATATATAACAGAATGTTAGGAGCAGAAAAATAATCCAGGATGTTGGAGGTGTAGTCAGGAACAGGGGAAGAAGGCAGGTCCCACTGTAATTGCTGAGCAAAGGGATGAGTCAATTAGAGGAAAATAGCATATCTTCTTTAACTTTCAAAGGTCTTCAGATCTAACCAAGGTTTAGATTTCAAAAATGGATAAGACCTTAATGGAAGATAAATTAAACAGTTAATTCTGGGTTAATTTGGGGTTGATTTTGTAATTATATTGTGCTTATTTAATACCTTGATAGTACTTCTTACTTTAAAACACTTTTGAAGTGTGCTTCATTCAGCAGCTCATATACTAATATTGAAATAATTCAGTGAAAGATAGCATGGTCCATAGGTAAGGATAACAAAAAATTTTGTGAAATATTCCATATATTTACATCAGTGAACATTGTAGAGGTTATGAGGTCATGATCTTGTAAAACACTCTCAGAGTTCTTAATTTTGCTAGGTTTGAAGGTCAATAAGTTGAGTATTCTGAGTTAAAAAATCAATTGGTTTAAAAAGATTTATCTTCATGAGCTAAAATTTCTCTTCCACTTCTATTATGTCTCCATTCATTTTGCTGTAGGAATTTAATATGATTTTATGCAACTAAAATTAAGAAAATAAAAATATTAGTATTCTAAGTAAAAAACTATCATCATTCCTTTTGGGGGAAAATGTGTTACTGCTTTATCAGTAGTACATTACCTTAAAAAGAAATTCTCCTGGGCATGCAAGTTTCTTGAAGCATCTCCACCAGGAGGTGGAAGAAGGCCCACAGCTAATGCAGCAGTGAAATACATCCCAGTGATGTGTGTGTCAAAAAATTATTTAAAATACTCACCTAAGTCTTCTGATAGCGATTTTATATAACAACCTTAAAATATGCATACACTCTGCCACCACGAAAACTTAGCAGTGTGGGGTCAATATTACTTTTCTAGACTATATTGCACAGTGCATTAATCATACTGATGTTTCTTTAGCATAAAAAAAATTCAGCATTTGGACATTTTGTTCAAAATGGAAAGGGGAACGAGGAAAAGGCAGGGGTAAGGGAAAGAAGGGGAGAAAAAGAATAGAAGGTAAAAACAAGAGCAGGGCATTTGTAAATAAGGAGGAAAAGAAGGGTTGCATGGAGAGAAGGGCAATCAAGAAAAAAAAGAATCCAGATATATTATGTGCAGGTACAAATGCCCATGATGAATGTGATCTTTATATATATTAGAGGTGTGCTAATAAAATTAATTTTAAAAAGGAATCAACAAAAATATTAACATATTTTATAAACACATGCATGTAATTTATACTATTTTTATATTTTATTGCAAACACTTGCATAATTTTTAAATGTTGCTTATAAAATGATTTCCTCTCCACAGTTAAATTAGTTTTGAGTCAATTTTTAACAACTATGTTTACTTAGAATTTCGTATAAGGCAAGATAAATTGATTACTGATTTTAGAACATTTTAACAATATCAAATGCAATCACTTAATTAACCTCACAATGTTATCTCTAAGATGATTATTAATTTCATTTTGTTACTCATTTTACAACAATTGATGAATTCATTTTTTGTCTTCAATTCCATTTTTACATTTCCTGGCAAAGCCTGTAAAAGTTCAACATTGATATGAGGTGACTACAAAAGATATATAAAATGGATGAATTCATATCCTTCTTCATCATGAAAATTTTACTCCAAGTAATTTCAACTAAAATGAATATAAATAGGTGTAACAAATTTTCTATAAATATATAGAAACAACTGTTTTGTAGTATTTTAATAAGTGTCGTATATAAAGTTTGTGTTTATAACAAAATAACATGAAGCAATTCAATGTAATTGTAAAATGATATTCTCTGCTGAATAATACTACACATACAGTAGAGCCTCTGTTCACCAGCACTTCTGTTTACAAATTATTTGGTTCCCAAACAGAAGCAATTGGAAAATTTTTCCTTCTGTTCGTAAACTCTGCTTCCGGTGAGGAACACAACCATAGCTATCTTCCCCCTGTGCAGCATCTTCTCCAGGACCTCGGAACAAATTCTGTTCCTGAACCAAGGTACCACTGTAGTTAATTTTTTAAAATAGAGCTTAGAAAATAGCCACACTTTGAATATTTTATAACACGTGTCTATTATTTCTGAAAGGTATGTACTTATGTTGTTAAAAAGAGCATTAGTATGTGGTGAGATATTCTGTGAATTTTCATTTCTTTATCCATACTTTCTCCTTGTACCATAATCTTATGTTACTTTTAATCAAATATTTTCCAAGTTAAAAAATATGCACTGACCACCCCGAGTAAAATAATAAAAATTTAAAAGCCACAAAACAAGTAATTTAGTATATTTTGTGCTTTATAATAATAGAATGGCACCTTGGTTCACGAATTTAATTCCTTCCACAATTTTGGGGGAAGATGGCCACATTTGTGTTCATCACCCAATGTGGAGTTTTTTTGATTGTTTGTTTGTTTTTTTTGTTGTTGTTGTTGTTTTAGTACCAGGGATCAAACTTGGGACCTTGTGCTTGCCAGGCAGGCTGCAGCACCACTGAGCTAAACCCCTGGAGTTCAATAGAAGCAAAATTTTGTTCAATGCTTTTTCCTGTTCCTGAACCAAATTGTTGGTAATCAGAAGTGTTCATGAACCAAAGTATTACTGTATTCTCCAAGATTACATAACATGACTAAATATATTAGTGCTTAGGATAATACCTTAATGTAATTTTTCTTTCTTTTAAATTTGAAATAAATAAATTTCAAAGAGCCTATTTATTGGTAAATTAACTCATGGCTATTACATTATTTTTCAGCTTTAATTGAGTTTATTGGTTCATTTTAAGGATACAGTACAGTTACATTCATTGTTGGGATCTTGTACCTCTCTACATGACAAGTCTTGATTCTCATTTTTTCCCCTTACTTCTGCCCTCCCTTCACCCCCTATTATATTTTTGTTTGCCTAAAATAGTCTCTCCTAAGTTTAATTGTTCAATGATTTGGGTTTGTGAACATTTGTTCTTTACTGAGTATTATTAACTTTTCATTGATAATGTGAAACAAATGACATTGTATAAATGGTACTGTATATATGAGCTGTTCAAGGACCCTAACATAATGACTTCTTCAGTGATTTACCAAGACAAGGAATTAGATGTTGTCCGTACTTTTTTGGAAGAGTATTTTATCACTGATGCTGTTTATATTTGATAACAGTGGTTTAAAATAAATAAATCTACAAATTGAAATTCAGTAGTTTTATTATTCTTTTTTATTGTCTATGGACAGTTTTCCCTGAACTACTGTTTATGGTGCAAAGCTCTCCTAATTGATTCCCTTAATACACTGTTTACTTGTTCAAAACATGTTTGAATATCAAAATTCATGAATAAAACTGTTAAATGTTTCCTTTATAATGGTACATAAGTATGCAACCTCTCTCGAGAAACTAAGCCACCAGTAGAAATCATTAACTGAAGTACCAATTTAATACTATGTGAAATAAATTTTTTGTTGCAGGTGCTAATTTAACATTGGTATCCTATTAGTCTGAAATCACTCATGTTCTTATTTTAGAAATAATTCTGAATATGATAGCCATGATTATTTCTCTCCAAAAACTTTAATACTGAAGTTTAAGCTAAGAATATCTAAGATTATTGTTAGTGAGAAATGTTTAGTGTCACATTGCATATATCGATAGTACAAAAAGAAGGATTATTATTTCAAGCTTTGGTAAGTAATTAACTTCACATATAAGATGTGATACAAACTGGTTAGTTATCCTGATTTACTTATGGTTTAATAATGTATTTTGTTAATATTTAGCATTGAGAAGGCATAATGACTTCCTTGGATACAATAATTTGAAATAATGAAGTCATGGAAAACTAGGAGAACTATTAGATTTATTAAATTATATTCCATATACAAGAATGATAATTTCTTTCTGTTTTCTGGAAATAACTTCCATTAAAAAGATACTTATAGCAACTTGAACATTAATTTTCTTGACTTTTATTTTCACCATTTTTATAGCTCATATTTGCCTAAAGCAATAAAAGTTCTTTGCTTTGAAAAGATTTTCTTTACTCTTCTTGTTAGATAAATGTAAATAATGACAGTAGTAAGGACTTTCACAATCAAAATAAGTGATTTAGAAATTTAGAGCAAGATTTGCAATTTGGATGGTATGAATGCTTAGATAGAAACATGAACTTGTTCCTGCTGAGGATAAAAATAAAATCAACAGGTTAATTTTAACAATTTGCTAACTGAAAGTAATAATAGAATCATCTTCTATTAATTGCAATTTAGTAAAACAACTATGGAGATGAACAGAAGCTACCAAATGCTCATTTACCCTTTGTCTGTGTACCATGATTAGCATTTACTTGTTAACTTACTAATTTAACTACCAGGTATATATGCCACACTTTAAAATCTCCATTAATTTTAGGTTTAAATTAAATGATACATTTCTAAACAAAGTTCCTATGACAGCTTTCTGTTGGTGAAAAGGTTTTTCCATGTATCCAACACAAAAACACTCAGGGTCCCAACTTTTGAGTTCATTCCTCAAGTCGACATTTTAATACTTTGTCCAGAAAAGAGAGTGAGAGCTCTGATGAAGAAGATATTTTGCAGTAGTTGCCGTTCTACTTTTAGAAAAATGGACAAATGATTTTTTATTAAGACTCAGTAGGTATTATAAAAATGGAATATATCAAAATATACTTCCAAATTCAGGATGTATTATCTATTGTCTTACTAAAAGTAAGCATAAGCGTAAAACTTGAGCGGTAGACACTTAGGACCTACAGTTTCAGTAGTGCAGGCTTCCAGGTGTGACGCATCTGGCTCTCTGGCAGGAGTAGGATCCAAACATGCGCCTGGGATTCTGTCAGACTGAGGGACTCAGCTTCTTTTTGGCTGTCAGCTAGAGACATTCATCATTCCTTTTTGTCATGTGAATCATTTCACAAACATCTCAAAGCATATCCGCACCCTTTTTCATAAACAGCAAGACAAGAAATAGCAAACTATGGATACATTCCCCCTTTTTTCACTTTAAACATCAAGAACATACAGTTCACATGTTATCTGTGCCCATATCATGTGATTTAGCTTCCAGAAATAACCTAAAG